AATGAAATAGTACAACTGTATTATATTTTTGGTTCATATTATATTTTTTTGTTGGTTTATGATAACCGATTAACATAAAATGAATTCAGTTTTAATTTGGTCCTAGATCATGTAAATAATAAATTAAAGTATTCAATAACAATAATAAATAGTATACATTACTTTTATATAAAAATATTTTGTTTTGTTTTTTCATAAAGTGGGACCAAAATGGGAAGGGGACAAGAAAAACAATCGTTAGCAATATTGTATAAGATCCGAAAGAAATTTCATAAACAATTAGCAAACCAATTCGAAAGTGATCCGCTAACGATACGTTTTCATACCTTCGAGAACGATACTTTGTCTGCCACAAACAGAGCGACCCGTCGTGGGGAAATATTCCGAAAAAGATCGGTTAGCGATTATCGTTTTCAACAGTTTTGTGGGTAAAACGTCCGCAAAACATCTGTTTACGATATTGTTTGCGAATATTTGGTTGGCTGGGATTGCTCAAACCAAAATAAAGCGCACAGCGCTGCAGCGATGTTGTTGTTGATATTGTGTATGGATGTATGGATATGCAACAACGTTTGGAGCCAAAGGGAACATTTTGTTTGTAGATCTTCCGCTGTATCGCTGCCTACATGCTCACGTGTGTAGCAATGCTTTGAACGATATTAAACAAAAACAGAAACGAAAGCGAATAAATGGAACAATTTTTCATTCTCTTATGTCCCGCTGAGACGCTGCCTATCGAAATGAACGTAGCAATACTTTGCTCAATGTACAAATTTTAAAATCTTTCGACGCTAATATTTCGAAAATGGTTCAATGAATCTTATATATAAAAAGTTTCGACAAAGTTTCAGATCGATCTCTTTAATTTTATGTATAATTTGTCTCTGTACGACGTGTAGATCGCAGGAAATAAGCGCCTTGTTTCAGAATAATACATAGATTTTAATATAATAATAATTCTAAATTCTAAATTCTAAATAAACAAGAAAACAAGTTCATATGAACGTGCTAATAATAAAAATCGAAAAACAATAGTTAGCGTATAGCAGTGTTGCCAGTTTGCGGGATTTCGCCCTTTTTACGGGATTTTATGACTAAAAAGGGCGAATGGTATTTCCTGTCGAAAAAACGGGATTTTTTGCATATCATACCAAGCAATACAATTTAGTGAGTAATGGATAAATATGAAACAGCTCATTCACTTGAAATTAATTTTAAAACTTGCTATTAGAGTTATACAGAAAGTAATTTGGCAAGATATAAAGTGTTTGAAGTTAGGATAACGTGTGGGGAAATCGGGAAGTTGTGTATTTTGGAAATATTAGAAAACTTTCGAATCAATAAGGCAACTCACTCTTTGATGCGAAAAGCAAAAGTTAGCGTTTGTTTTGTTGCTTTGCTGTGCGTTTGTGTGAAACGACGCCATAACGGTGCCATACCTTTGTAGTAAAAAACTGCCGATTTTCGCTTAAACGCTTTTTCAAATATCTCGAGTTTCTAGATTCCGAAGTCGTTTTAAATGAATGTGAAATAATCAACTGCGAGTCTTTAGAAAGCATAGTGGTATACATAAATGTTGACAACTTTGATTTAGACGATGAATGAAAAAGTATTTTGAGTGCTTTTATAATCAAAATTAGTAAAATTAGCGTTGTACAAACCTTTGGGGGGTCGTCGTTAAAAGAGGGCAGTAAATCTAGATTTCTTATATCAAAATTCAATGGATATATAATGGATATATATAGTTTTGCAATATCTTTTCATTATTATTACCATTCTTATTCCAACTGTCAAAGAATTTTTTCATTGCTTACTGAGATCAAAACGAAAAAGATAATCAGAATAAACGAAGAAGCATTCGAAATAAAGATAATCGAAGGAGGAAGGAATCGTCAAAAATTAAATCAATCTCCCAAGATCGATTCATATATTTTGTCAAATAAAGTATTTTACTATATTTTTACAAAGAAACAAAATACAGCGGTCTGACAAACTTTTATTGTACATAAGTAATTTCGGAAACATACATACATTGTTCATAACGGTTTCAATATTTGAAAAAAGGTGTGAGATAAGGTGTTTCTATAGTAAGATCATTCAACAGAAACTTCATAACAGGCAACGAGAAGACAAAAAATGTATGCCATTGTAAAAATGCTATGTGGAAACAAACACAATAGGGGTATTCTCCAAATCTTGCAAAGCCATTGCACGTAGCACGGATTGCATGGATTGCATAACTTGCAAACACACAACAACGAAATACATGGGAAACAGCATTTTCTATCGCTGCAAAATATGCAACGTCGAAACCCATGTATATATTATGCAAAATAGCATAGCAAGATAAATACGACCCTGTGCTAGTTGTTTTGTTGTTGGAATTGCTATATATTTCTCTCATTCCTCTCATCTCGCTCACTTAATTTTTTTTGCTGTCTCTTGTTATTGTATTTGATATATAATTTCGCTGCTTGCTACCCATGCATGCTTCCACTTTACAATGGGGTGCACTCGTACTCTTCGAAATTTGGAATAGTATTTTTGCATTTCATGCAATCCGTGCATCGTGCAAGACTTCGAGAATACCCCTAATGTCACGGGTAGTGTTTAATGCCCAACGGAGTGGTTCAAATTTTTGCGTTTAATGTCCTGTTTTGTTTTTTTTTAACACAAATGAGAAAAAAGTTTACGTTTTACTTCAAAATTAACTTCTATTTTAAGAAGTTTAATGCCGAATTTCCACTAGGCATTGAAATGACAAAAAATGTCAGCCATTTGAAAAAATGCCAGGTGGAAATGAACTTAATGACTATTTTTTCACGACATGATATCTTTTCATGCCCAGCTTTGTCATATGTAGGGGAAATCCAGCATAATGGAATTTGTTTTTTAGATGTATGTATATATATTTTATGCAAAGGGGGGTTTTTTAGTTTTTATACCCGAGCGCACTTGTGCACAAGGGTATATTAATTTTGTTCACATAACGGTTGTTTGTAACAGCCAAAACGAATCGAGATAGATATAGACAAATGTATACATAAATGATCAGGATAAGGATGAAAATCGATTAAGCCATGTCTGTCTGTCCGTCCGTCTGTCCGTCTGTCCGTGNTACCAAACTCGGTGTGGTTATTGTGCTTGCCACATGAAAGCAAAGCGTTGAAAATTATTGAAATCGGACTAAAATTACGGCCGCTTTTCATATAACGGTAAATTTCAGAAATGCTTGAAACTTCAATATTTCGAAATTGAAGGACGCCAATTTACTCAAAATTGATACAGGCCGGCTTACCATCTAGCGGTAGGTTTCGGAAAGGTGAAGAAACATATATTTAATACTTGCGCCGGGTATTTAATGTTCGGCTCCGCCCGAACTAAGACTTTCTTACTTGTTTATTTTGTTATCGCTAACTGTATGTTTATTTCACTTAATTACCCTTTAAAAAATATGTAAAAGGAGTTCTTGAGGGGTGAAAGTTTTTTGTGAAAATTTGCATAAAGTTGGGAACTACAAATTTTTGGAGTTTTTGTTGTATTATTAGCCATAATTTTGTATAGAGTTTATTTCAAGAGGCTTCTCTGAGGAGCCCTATAATCGGATGGGAAAGGTCATTGAATTCATTGGTCTTTGCTTTCCCAAGTATTTTTTTTTTGTTTTGTATCAGTCAAAAATTCAAATTTCTTTAAATTTTTATAGATTTTCTGGGGCAAACCGTGGTTCAATAAAAATCGAATGTCGATTCCCGAATTTTTTGAATCGATTCACAGCTAAAAAATCTACAAAAATCGAATAGGAATGGCTCGATTAATCGATTTGAAAACGGCATCTCTAGTAAACATTAAATGCAAAATGTGCAGTCAAATCTAATTTACTTAACAAACAATTATTGCATTTTTAGGGGTTTTTGGCGGACCTATACAATATAGTTACTATGAAGAAATGGTTTAATAAAGAATTGGGTATTATTACTGGGAGTCTCCTGAAGAGAAAAATTCCGATCGAAAAATATTGAGTTTCATGAATTCTATACAATTTCTACGAAAAGTTATTTTTCCCATATAAAGTACATATACAACTTTAAGCGCATCGAGCGACCACTAAATATTTTTTAGTTTAAAATAAAAAGTAGGGGTATATTTTTTCGGTATAGAACAATCCTAGGGGGTGAGAGCATTAAAATTCCGACTATACTTTTTCCCGCATGCATTTTCGGACCACCCTAATGTAAATACTTTCATCCGAAAGCATTTTATGTATAATGGATATATACAGCGCGGGATTTCTGTTATAACTTTAGTATAAAACGGGATTTAGGTTATATTTGGATGGGATTTTATTAACCCAGTCACTGGCAACACTGGNTTTTCGGTATAGAACAATCCTAGGGGGTGAGAGCATTAAAATTCCGACTATACTTTTTCCCGCATGCATTTTCGGACCACCCTAATGTAAATACTTTCATCCGAAAGCATTTTATGTATAATGGATATATACAGCGCGGGATTTCTGTTATAACTTTAGTATAAAACGGGATTTAGGTTATATTTGGATGGGATTTTATTAACCCAGTCACTGGCAACACTGGCGTATAGGGCGTACTGTGTTTTGTGATGAGTCATTTGGAGACGATGCCACAGAAAATAATGACTTTGAACAGAAAATGTTTTTATATGCCATTTGCTGCTTTAGCAACTTTCAAAGCAGATATTTAATACTCCGCCCCGACAGCCACGAATGAACAAGTGGTTTCTACTTCAAATAAAATTGTAGAAGAACTGGGCACAGTTGTGCTTAAAAATTTTTTGAAGAAACTTTGTTTCTAAATATCTAGAGATTGCTAAAAAATGTTCCAAACATATATTTCTAAAAAAGAGCCATGGTGTGTTAACAAAAATTAATATAGGCATCGGGTCCCACGCATGTGAATTGTGATATGTAAAATTTTCACAACTCGATACGCAAGGAACCATAAAAGTAAATAATAAATACTTACCTGCTAAATTTGGTCGAAAATGTATCGCTTTCCGAAAAGACTCCACTGCAGATTTATAGTTTTGTTGATTTTGATGAAGAATTCCCCTAAAAACAGGTAAAAATAAAAATTTTAGTGCAAACGAAAGCAGATGGCACCAATGAAATGTATTTTTATGTGTTAATAGCAAATACATGACTTGATCCGAGTCGGCTTAAAGTGTTGTTGATACTGTATATATAGCATTGCAAGTCCAAAACAAAATTTTTAATAAGCTTTAATTTGCCCTTTATAATCTGCTTTACCACTTGCAAGTAATTACCTATCTCCCCACATAACAAATTAAGCAATATTGCACACTTAATTGTTTTATTATAAGTTTTGTTGTACCCGTGCATTTGAAAATACAGCCAAAGCAAAAAATATTTACACACAGTGGAACATTTTATGTTTTTTCTTTGTACTTATGTTAAATTTTATAACACCGTGCGACAGTAAATTTTACACACAAAAATTTGAATATTTTCGCGAAACTATGGGTAAATCAATTATATAAATAGGCAATCATGTTTCCTTTACACCCCTTTTACGGCTAAACTATACTTCTAAGGTATAAACAATTCCAAATTAGTTTAAAATAGAGCGAAAAAATCAATTCAAAAGTCACACCAATACCAATGTCATACATGTACATGGTTGGGACGGAAAAGCCCCCTAAATGTATGCTTTAATATGGATAGTGAATTACTGAAACGTGCTAAGCAGCAGTTTAGGAATAAGATGTATGTATGTACGAACATGAATAGATTAGTCAATGTTATTGTGGCTTGTTAACATTTTTATTTTTAATATTTTT